GAAAAAGAAAATTGACTAAAAGTTAAAGAGAAAAAAGAGTTTCTTTCTGCACCACCTTCTTATCTGTCCAGATGGTTTTCCTTCGAGTAAACATTATCGTTTCATCTTAAATAAGAACTTCCTTCTTTTATCCTCTGTTGATGGCAAACTTAATGCCTCAAACACCAGTTTCTTATGTCCACACCAGTGGCACAAGTCCATCTGGAATTTCTCCAACAAACTTCCCCACCTCCATAAATCCTGTCCTATATTGAAGTCTACTTCAAGTTCTGTTTTCCTTCATGAAACCTTCTTTGTTAATCCCTGGGGTCAGGATTAACTCTTTTCTCATTGTGTTTAATTACCTAGAATTTTCATTCCCACAACAAGAGGAAAAAAATCTTAGGCACAGAAAAATTTTGTTGTTATTTGAAAGACAGGCAGGCAGAAACAGAGGTAAAGTGATACAATTCAAAGACCATGGGTTTGGAGGTAGAATAATTGTTATAACAATGCTTTCTTGTGCAGCATAATTAACATCCCTGAGCCTCAGTTTTCTTTTTCTATAAAACAATAATAACAAAAATTGCAGAATTATTGTAACAATTAATCAAATGACATAATAGCTGTCATGAATGACCAACCCCAGCATTGATGGGTGGCAAATTGTCCAACTGAAAAAAAAAAAAAAAAAGTAAATAGTGATCATATACTAAATAGGAAAGTATGTGGAGAACAATTAAAAATAAAAGGGTAAGAAAGACACAATTCTTGTCCTCCATTAACAATTGGCTGAGGCAGGCAGTTAAATATTTTTAAGTAAAAATTTAAGAGTAGATTAGCATAAAGGAGAAATGCTCTGTGAGTATAGGGGAAAAAAAAGTATCTCAATCTGAATTTTGAGGTTTAAAGTTCCCTGAAGAAGAAGACACTCAAACTGAACTAAAGTTATTAAGTTTAAGTTCATTAAACAGGAGACAGGGCTCATTAAAGGCAAATAGAACAAGACAAGCCAGTGAATAGAATCATGAAACAGCATAGAACGCTGGGAACATTTATGTAGTTCACCATTGTTAGAGTATGAATTGCAAATAGGTAAGTGTCAGGAGGTGACATATGGGAAGAAAGCAGGTGACAGAAGACCTTGTAGGTCATGCTGAAATGCTTGAACTTATCTTGTACAGACCATGAAGAGCTAATAAAAAAATCAAGGAAGAGAAGATAAGAGGGAATGTTTTATGGAAGAAATTCAAAGATATAAGAATTATGGAGAGATGAAATATTTTGGATGTCATGTTGAAAGAAATGTAGTACTTTTTTTTCTTTTAAATAATCAATTAGTGTGGGGATTAGCAGATGATACCATAAAGGGAAACTATTTAATCTGGGTCATACTAGACACTTTTTGAGGATTGATTGGCATTTATTTGCAGTTAAAAGTTGAATATGAATTAAATAAAGTCTCAAGCTAAGTATGCCACACTCCTTAACAAATATTTATTGAACAGTCTCCCTTGTATCAACATATTAGGAAGTATAATCCCTCTGATTTCTTCTAGTTCATCTCCATGTGATAACTTGTCCTATAAATCTGAATCCAGGGTAATATTTTAGTTAAAAGAAGTTAAGAGACACAAAAATTCCCACAATCATCAAAATTCAAAAAAGGTCTAGGTTGTGGCAAATAGTTTTCTTGAGAGTGGGAACTCTGGGCAGATTAATTAAGAACCAGTAAATATTTTGAGGATAAACTGGACTTCATCTGGCAAAGCAATAAATGGATTTCTGTTTTTTTGTGTTTTTCTTTCTTTCTTTTTTTGTATTGTTTAAAAAAGACAGGGAAGAGGGTTATGGAAAACAGAAATAAAAAGGAAAGAAACTAATACTTGTTTCAAAATTGTCAGTTGCCTGGTGGATTAAGTAGTTACCATAGCTTCATATTAAGGAAAAAAGAAAGAAATATATATATATATATAATATATATATATATCTACATACATATATGTAGATATATATATATCTTAATCAGTTTTTTCAAAGTTGGAAAAATTGCCAATGTCATTCGGATATTGAGTTTGACTTTAAATCCAGGTATTTCTGACTCTTAGCATCTAACGTCCTCTGTAATCTGAATGGACATAAACCAGAACTGGGGTACATAAATGGTAATTATAGGGTTCTCTGTGGTCTGAATGTGGACTTAGTGAAGAGAAAGGTAAACTTTATTTCATATTACATTCAGTTTTCTCTTAAAAATCCACAGAGTAAATATTAGCACATTGGGCAAATTAGACAAATCATATTCCTCACATATTCCCCCAAATCGCTTTGGCCAGAATTCATTTGGCTCAGAAACCCTTTTTTAACCTGCATTATTCAGATACAATACACATTTGTTCTGGCAAACTTTGCCCGGGTTTAATTATTTTGTGTTACAAAATTTCATGAGGATAAATTTATCAAGTATAAATTACCTGTCAGTATGATTTTCTGATTCCTACTATCCATTCATCTAAGAAGCTCACTGAATTTTGTATGAGGCAGAATCCAAATTTAACCAAGAATGTGCACCAAGTATTCCTACATTTTATTTTCCCAAAAAGCATTGTAAACTATGCCAATGCAGAATCAGTCTTGACTAAAAGGAAGTTTTGGTAATTAACACTTCATCTTTTTTTTTTTTAAAGATTTTATTTATTTATTTGACAGAGAGAGATCACAAGCAGGCAGAGGCAGGCAGAGAGAGAGAGGAGGAAGCAGGCTCCCCAATGTGCAGAGTCTGATGTGGGGCTCGATCCCAGGACCCTGAGATCATGACCCCAGCCGAAGGCAGAGGCTTATTAACCCACTGAGCCACCCAGGTGCCCCCGGTAATTAACACTTCAAAAAGTGTTTCAATTTAAAAAATAACTTATTGAAGGATCTTTAGACAAAATTGATTGTAAATAATGAATTTCTAAAAATGTTCTTTCTGATCTAATGTCCAAGAAGGGACAGGCCTGGTAAGAAAAGAAAATGGGGACGTGCCATGTACCAATTTTTCTTACTGTGAATTACTATGCATTTGATTTTTTAAATAAGCATTTTATTTTATAATAACTTTAGATTTCTAAAACAGTTGTGAGGGGTTGTACAGAATGTTCCTGTATATATGACAGACAGTTTTCCTTATTATTAGCATCTAAGATTACTGTGACGTGTGACTCAGCTATGACATTTAATATTGATACATTATGATGGATCAACTTCCCCATCTCATTTGGATTTCCTTAATTTCTACATAATGTCCTTTTTCTGCCCCAAGAGCCCATCCAGAATACAATACTATGCTCCTCTAAACAGTGTCTGTTTCTCAGATCTTCCTAAGGGTTGTTTTGTTTTGTTTTTATTTTATTTTATTTTATTTTTTATTTTTTCAGAGTTCCAAGATTCATTGTTTATGTACCACACCCAGTGCTCCATGCAATACATGCCCTCCTTAATACCCTCACTAGGCTCACCTAACCCCCCACCTCCTCCCCTCTAAAACTCTCAGTGTGTTTCTCAGAGTCCATAGTCTCTCATGGTTTGTCTCCCACTCCCATTTCCCCCAATTCATGTTTCCTTTCCTTCTGCTAATGTCCTCCATGTTACTCCTTATGCTCCACAAGTAAGTGAAACCATATGATAATTGACTCTCTCTGCTTGAATTATTCTATCTGTACCCCAATGTTCATAGCAGCAATGGCCACAATCGCCTAAGGGTTTTTTGATGACTTCCACAATTTTGAGAAGTATTTTGTAGAATGTTCCTCAGTTTGGTTCATTCTGCTGTTTCTCCCATGGTTAAACTGTCATTGTGGTTTGGGGGAGCAAGATAACTGGTAAAGTGTCATTTTCAACACATCATGTCAAGATACATGCCATCAAGATGACTTTTCACTGGCTCGAGGTAGTGTTTGTCAGGTTTCTTCACCGTCAATATTCTCCCCTCCTCCTTTTCCACACTATTGTCTTGGGAAGGAAGTCACTAAGCACAGTCCTCACTTAAGAGGACTTATGGGGGCGCCTGGGTGGCTCAGTTGGCTAAGCATCTGATTCTTGATTTCAGCTCAGGTCATGATCTCAGGGTTATGAGATCTAATCCCACATTGGGTTCTGTGCTGAGTGTGCAGAAGTCTGCTTGAGAGTCTCTGTCTCCCTCTGCTCCTTCCCCTGCCTCCTCTCTCTCTCTCTCTCTCAATAAATAAATGAAACCTTAAGAAAAACAAAAAACTAGAATAAAAAATGAAATATATTTAAAAAATAAAATAAGATAAAATACATTGTATACCAAAAAAAAGGGAAAGGAAAATGAATCCTTTAAAAAAAATAGAGGATTTATATTTTTGAGAGGCAAAATTTACCTAAGTTATTTGCAAAAAGATAAGCCCTGAGGCAGGATTGACTTGGAGATACTGCTGTGTGATCGAGATTAAGTCACACTTACTCTTAATGAAACATGAAGTGTAACATATATAAAATTGGAAGTTTTATATGCATCCTATTCTCTTGCATCTTATAGGTAAGGAGAGTGAGATTATACAAGTCAATTAAGTTTAAGGTAACAAAACTTTTAAAAATAAAGTGATAGGGCGCCTGGGTAGCTCAGTGGGTTAAGCCTCCGCCTTCAGCTCAAATCATGATCTCAGGGTCCTGGGATCCAGTCCCACATCGGGCTCTCTGCACAGCAGGGAGCCTGCTTCCCCCACCCCTCTCTCTGCCTGACTCTCTGCCTACTTGTGATCTCTGTCTGTCAAATAAATAAAGAAAAATCTTTGAAAAAAAAAAAAAAAGAAATAAAGTGATAATTTCAACTTTGCTGTGTTTGACTCCAAATCTGTAATTTTTCTATCACCTTCTAAAGAAAAGGGCACTGAGAAAGTTGAGTCTTTCTTTTAAGCCAGTTGCTTGATTTGGTTTTTGTCCAAATTTGCTAATTCCCTGGCACTCCTTTGGTTCTCCAGATGGCTCTGGGGTGTTGTGGGACCCCCTGAGCTAACACAGTTATCCCATGCTGCACACAGGTGCACTGCTCTCCTTGGCAGGCCACAGGAACCCAGCTGCTGCGGTAGGGAAGAGAAGGAGATAGAACACTCTCCTGCAGCCAGACGTGTCCCTGTTGCCTCCGGGCCATCATCTCTTCTGGGTGAGTCCCAGAGCACACCCGCTGGTTGTGGAAGTACACCTCAAGGAACAAAATGATCAACAGCTTTAGAAACATTAGGTGTATTTCCTACCATACCTGTAAACCTGTCACGAGCACTAGAACAGACGCTGGCTATGTGAGTTTTGATGTGTCTCAAGAAGGTAACAAACAGCCCAGAAAAGGATGGATTGTTGAGATGGAAAGAATGGGTAAGAAGTGTTCCTGAAAACAAAGTGTGGTTATTTCAGGGAAGTTGGTGACCTGAGTACATGGAGAACATAAATGAGAGGAGATTACAAGAAGTCCAGTGATGCTGATGCTCTGTAATTTTAAAAACAAAAACAAAAACAAAAACAAAACAAAGCAAAGCAAAATAAAATAAAATAAAATAATAAAATAGAGCTATTTTATTGGATTCTATGCAGTGTTTTAAAATCAGTGCAGACAATATTCAGTGTCAAGTAACTTTCTATTAAGAATTAGAAAGGTTCTTTATAAACTAATAAGGGCGTGGAATCTTTATGTTTTCATTTGCAGTACTGTAAAAAAGTAATTAAAAATGTAACCAATAATTAATTACCAATAATAAATCAAAAACTCCCTGGTGTTCTTCTCTTCACATTATAGCCTTTGTTCTTTTTTTTTTTAAGATTCTATTTATTTATTTGACAGAGAGAGATCACAAGTAGGCAGAGAGGCAGGCAGAGAGAGGGGAGAAGCAGGCTCCCCACCTAGCAGAGAGCCTGACACGGGGCTTGATCCCAGGACCCTGAGACCACAACCTGAGCCAAAGGCAGAGGACCAACCCACTGAGCCACCCAGGGACACCATAGCTCTATATTCTTTTGAAACTTGGTTTACTTTTTTTATGGCCTCATAAATGGCTAAAATTTTGTATTTTCTTGCGCCTTGCATAAAACCTGCATTGTGAGTACCTTATACATAGCAAACAAGCAAAAAATGCTTTGCCTCAGGCAAAACTGATGAGGGTTTTGCTCCAGCTACATACTATTAGGTAAGGCAGAGGATGGAGAAGGTGGTTTGGTCTCTTTGCCCTTCACCAGTTATCTTACTTTAGAAAATTCATTTAACTGTTATCTAATTTCCCTTATCTGTAAATGGAACTAAATGTATCTATTTGCATGAACTGATTAAAGATTAGACCTGTACATGTGAATCTATCACAATGCCTGACACATAATAAATGGGGAATAAAGGGATACTTAGTAAATCCTTCCTTAGCATGTAGCTTTGCCCAACCACACAATTTTCTTCACATTATCAGCTGCATTTTAATTTACCTAAGACTTTGAAGTCAACTTTTAAGATGTTCTTACATACTTTTACATCACTAGCATGAAAAGAAAAGCAGTATCACTTGACTTGCTAGTTGTAATTTTTTATATGCTCATTAACTATTAAAAAATGAGTAATTGAATATAATCATGGTTATTGAAATCTAAATAAAGGAACAAAACTTTATCCTTGCAACTTCTTGGGGAAAGCCCACTCTAGGAACATGACCTCCATCATTTTGTCATATGCCACCATTCCATGGCTTCAGGTTACAGCAGAATTCAGCTAAAAACTTTTGTTTATCTACAGCACTGATGATTCCAGGAAGTTCCACATGTTATAGAGGAGGACAGACGTAATCTTTGCCATAAAAATGTGGGTCAGAATTTTCTGTGAATTCCCTTACATCTTGTGAAGTTGGATAAATTACTTACCTTTATTTAGACTCAAATGCCACAGGAAAAACAAAAAGAAAACATGAGTCATCGTTAATTCTATGGAAAATAAAAACTGAATGAAGAAGTATAGCAGTATATTAGTTATTGACGAAGAATATTTATATTCTTCATCAATAAAATCAACAACAACTATTTAATTGTACAAAACTGTGATTTAAAAAGTGTCTTAGATAATGTAGGTGGGAATGTAGGAAAGTTTATATGAGTGGAATTTGTAGGTAGACTGAGGATGAGCACAGGACAATGAATTTCATTATAAACTTTTTATTACTAGTGCATTTCGAATCATGTACTTGTGAAGCACGTAGATGGCTCAGTCAGTTAAGCATCTGCCTTCAGCTTAGGTCATGATCGCAGGGGTCTGGGATTGAGTTCTGTATCGGGCTCCCTGTTCAGCAGGAAGTCTTCTTGTCCCTCTCCCTCTGCTTTCAGCTCCCCCTGCTTGTGCACTCTCTCTCTTTCTCTCTCAAATACATAAATAAAAACTTAAAAAAAAAAAAACAACTTTGTACTTGTATAAAAATGTTAAAAATGCTAAAAATAAAAATGTATTCCCAATTAGGATTTAGAAGCCATGATTTAATAAATGTGTTTATTATACATGTTTATTTGTCTGACTCAATTTTGCCCTCTAATTTTGAGCCTTTTAGGGCAAGTGCCACTGCTCTCTGATCAGCCATCTGTATGTCTGTACTTAATGCCTGATCCTGATGGAAAGATGGACAGATCAATGAAAATGAGATATATAGCCACTGAAGTCCTTTCCAGATGTAAAATGATCTGACTGTGTCACAGTATTATGAACTTGCTAACTGCACTTTGGTCAGCAAAATAGTGAGAGTCACCCTTGAGCAATATAGTCCTCCAGGAAAAGAGAACTAGGGAAAGGCTCATATTGAGCTGTAATGGGGGAGCCAGCTAAACTACAAACCAAAATTTGTCCTCCATGTCCATGAGAGTTGAGTCATATCTATGAGGTGGAAATGCGGCCCCTGGATTATGTAGACTTCCCATTCCTTGAGGTGCAGCTGTGTAACTCAGTTCTGGCAAGGGCTTGAGAGTAAAGTGTCCGCTTCCAGGGATAATTAAACTTCCCCTGTAATTGCTCCATGCTTGAACCTGAAACCACCACTCTCGGGTCCATACATAATTAGAAAGCAAGAAGATATTCTAAACTAGTAGCATGGACACAGCAAAATTATGTCAATAATTAAGGTCAAAGCAAAATATTATTGGATAAATGAAAACTTATTTCTGAGATTTCCTGGTTTCTGAAGCATGTAGTATAAGAAGTTCCTTTGGAAAGGATCTTTTGCTAGTAATTTTTTTTAAAGATTTTATTTATTTATTTGACAGACAGAGATCACAAGTAGACAGAGAGGTAGTCAGAGAGAGGAAGGGAAGCAGGCTTCCCAATAAGCAGACAACCCGATGTGGGGCTCAATCCCAGGGCCCTGGGATCACCACCTGAGCCGAAGGCAGAGGCTTTAACCCACTGAGCCACCCAGGTGCCCCTGCTAGTAATTTTTTAAATGTGTTTTTATGTGTGTGTGTGTAGAAAAAAATATGTTTAATGTACTTAATTCTTCGATGTTGATTTAGTTGGTTAGTTAATTTGGGTTTGATCATTATTTTTCTCACCACATTGAGAATTTATTATTTTTGTCTTGTGGTTCCATTTTTGCTGGTGGGTTGGGTGCTACCGTTCTGAGTTCTATATGTTAGAAGATAATCTGTGTTTTCTGTTGGGCTGAGTTAAAACCCCACTGTCTCTGATTTTTCCATAGTGTACTCAGGCTGTGGGTTTCTTTTTAGCTTTTCTGTATGAATGTTTTATTATTTTTAAATCTGAGAATTATTTTTTTCTTCTTTAAATCTGGACTATTTCTAAGCATTATTTTCTTTCAATTTTCCTCACCCTCTTTTCCTGATATTTCTCTCTCTGGATTAGTCTTGTTATAAACTTTCTATTTTTACTTACAAACTTTCTATTTTTACTTACAGTAGCTTCTACTCTTTTATTTTTTTCCTTCTCTTTGTCTCTTTGTTTCCATTTCAGGTAATTTCTGTAAATATGCTTTCTTTTTCTTTTTTTCTTTTTTTTTAAGTTTTTACTTATTTGATGGAGAGAGAGAGAGAGTACACAAGCTGAGGGAGCAGAAGGCAGAGGGAGAGGGAGAAGTAACCCCCTCATGGAGCAGGGAGCCTGATTTGGGGCTTAAACCCAGAACCCCGAGATCATGACCTGAGCAGAAAGTAGATGCTTAACCAACTGAATCACTCAGGCACCCCTAGATCTACTTTCATTCTCACACACTCTTATTTTTTCTAAATTTATTTCACACTTCCAATTGTAATTGTAAGAATTATGATCATGCAATTTAATTTTTTTTAAGATTTGCTTTTTTTGTGTTATCTTACTTCTGGCCCCACCTTTATAAATCTCTCTTTTACCTTTCTAAATACTTTGAACACATGCATTATCCAATGTCTGTATTCCTCTGAGCTTTTTTGATATGAGCCCCTATGTATTTCATAATTTTGGGTTTTATATTCAATTTCAAAAGGCAGAAGTTATGGGAATACTGTAAGAAGGCACACCAGTGGAGATCATTTGCACTTATTCTTCCAGGAGCTCTAGGATGGTCTCAGCCTTTAACAATCTGGAATTAACTTGTTGAGGTTAAATTAAATTCAACCTATGTCCTACTTTTCATGAAGAGTATAGATTTTTGAGGATTCTGGCTTTCTTCTCTTTCCTTGTATGTTTGTTATGCCTCTCCTTTTCTAAAACCTTTGATATATTTTTAATTTAAAAAGACAAAGTATGTGTTTCAAAGAAATAATAAAATTTTGAAGTGGGAGGTATTTTCTTTTTTCCCCCACGAGTACATTCAGACTCAATATGTCCAAATAACTGAGAGGAGCAAATGCCTTGAATGCAGCCATAGCTGTGAAGCCTACAAGTCAGTAAAATTTCCTCGTCTCTCTTCATTTTGGTGCCTAGGGATTTAGTTTAATATTTTATGAAAGTCAATTATCCTTATAAAATTATCCCTGCTATATCAACCCATAATTTCTATCAGAAATTTATTTTTAATCAACATATATTTTTAAAGATAAATTCTACAGCCCCAGAAATGAAAGTTCTTCAGTGCTTTTCCCCCTTACTGATTGGAAGGACAGAAACATTGGTAATGCAGGAAATGAGACTATTTATAGGAGGATATTTTTGAATCATCAAGAGCCAATGGAGTACAGTACACAAATGGAAGTTTTGACCTG